ACCCATGTTAAAATAAAAGGAAAAGATGGAGTGCATGTGCCTATAATACCAGCCCTTGGTCAGCTCCAGGTCCAGGGAAAAACCCTGACTCACATAATAAGATAGAGAGTATCAGAGGAAGACACCTGATGCTGACCTCTGGCCTCTGGCCTCTACATGCACAGACCTGCATACATGTGCATACACAAATACATACGCACAGAGAAGGAAAAATATGTAAAATGTACAAATGACAAGCTTTAGTCCACAAGCTCAGACAAACATATAGCTTCTTTCCTCCATGACTTTAAGCCCTTCTGCCCAGAAAGTGGAAATTTCAACTTCTGAGCCTCCCCACTTTCTCAGTTTTCCCTAAGGTTGTGCCAAGGCATGTAGAATGAGGTGCCTTTGGGTTTCAGTCTACACACTATGGTCTGGGCATATGCCAGATCTGACCTCAGGAATCTGCTCCCACCCCACCCCCTTTCTGGCACACCTTCTTCCTTCAAATGCTGAGTTGTAGCATGAGCTCCCTTCCCCTCCCTGGCTTCTTATGAGCATTTGTCTGAACCACAGTTTCTGTAGGTTTCCTTAAGGAAACTGAATGTTTGAATCAAGAGCAAGCGCTAGGCCAACATTACCAAATTCACTCTAACCCCAGTTACTGCTTCCCTGAAGTCGCCAGCTTTCCACAGAGAAGGCTCTGCCTAACAGGAAGGAAAAGTAGAAACACCACAAGGAAAATAACAATTAGTTATTATCTCAAAAGCATCCTGAGCTGGCAGGGTAACTCAGTTCAGAGAGCTTGTGCAGGGTGTTTATGAAGGCCTGGGTAGTAACACATGCTTACAACCTTAGCAAACTGTAGATGGAGGCAGGAAGATCGGAATTTCAAGGTCATCCTCAGCTACATAGTTCAAGACTAGCTTGGTCTACATGTAACTGGCACAAAACAAAATCCTGGAAAAAATATGTATGTATATATATACATACATACATACATATCATATTTATTTATTTTGTATGTGTGGTCACATGCATGCATGCAACAGCACACAAATATGTTAGGTCTCGGGAAGTTCATAGATCCAGAAATGAGCTCAAGCTGCACCAGCATGCCCCAGGAATTTGAGAAATGAAATGTATTCATGTCCACCAAAAGGAGTCATTTCCCTTGCCTCTTGGGGTGGGGGTGGGGGTGGGATGGGGGGAAAAACATAGCTTTCTATTGAAATACATGTGTGGTTGCATATCAGAGTCCATGCTGGCCTCCAAGCTCCCTCAGTCCCTATTCACAAGTACCTGTTACACACTTCAAATTCCCCATGCCTCCTGGCTATCCTAATCTCAGATCCCCGCTTCCTTTACACCCCTGTAATCTTTCTATTCTCTGTCTCTTGTTATCTCCACTTTGCTTTCACATTTCCCTGGCTACACCCTGTCTACTTTTCCTCTCTGCTCTGAACTCTTCTAGATGCTTCTAGACATTTTCTCTCTCTTTGTTAATTCCATCATGGGAGAATAAGACCACTACCACAATCTTTGAACCAAATTTGAAGCAGGTTTTATTAAATACTGGCCAAAATGATGGACACTGGCCAGGTCCATATCTGGGATGCCCACAGAATGGTCTCGAATTACATTAGTTAGGTGCTTATTATAAAGGCGAAACACACAAGCCTATGTGTTAGGAGCAGTTTTCCCACCAGCCTGGTCCCATAGCCGTGTCAGCCCCAAGTAACACATAGAGATGCTAGATTAGATATAAAACTGTTGGCCAGTTACTTGCATTTCTTACTGGCTAGCTCTGTCTTAACTATTAACCCATTTCTATTAGTCTAAATGTTTCCACATGGTTTTATCTTACCGGAGAGAGGGTTCAGAGCTTCTTCTCTCAAGTCTCTACATCTTGACTCTCCCACTGCATCTCCCAGAATCTTCCTTGTCTCTTAGTCCCACCTATCTTGCATTCCTATGCAAGTGCTCTATTCATTAACCAATAGAGAAACCTATTTATAGAATGACATCTCCCATCAGCTATGTACTTCCTGCCTTCATACAACTGGGGGGGCAAGCATACATCCTGATGTACTTCCTGCCTACATGTGATTAAGTACATCCTGTACAGTGGGGGTACAAAAGTGAAAATGTGGCTTACTGCTTACATGAACAGCAGTCTCCAGCATTCCAGGAAATTATCTGTCCTCCGGCAAGTGGGGCTTACAGATTAGAGGCATTTTTGTTTTATAGATCTCTTAAGCACAGTAACAAACTTAAAACATAACTTTAGCCCTCACATCTTATCTATAATAAAAACCTTCCTTAATGGGGCAGCCATTGCAGCAGTTACTTTTCTGCTTTATGTTGCTTTACTTCGATACAATATAGAAGTCAGAGGACAACTTGCCACAAGTCTTTTTCTCCTTCTACCCTGTGAGGGCCCAGTGACTGAACTCAGGCATCAAGTGCTGTTACCAGAATCCCCAATATTCTGGATTTTAATGGACTTGGCCATACAGAACCCTGTGTTTGGACCCTAGGAACTGACTCTTGTTAAAGCCACTGCCTGGTTTTCTCTCTGCATTAGGTCAAGCCATTAGAAAGAAAAAGGGCCCCCAAGAAAGAGCTGGTTGCCTCCACAAGGAGGACAGGATGTGGTGGTCAGGGCTTCTGGTAGAAGCAGTGTTTATGGGAAGACTTCCATGCCTGAACTGAAGAGTTGATTGATGTTCATCCCATCTACCCAGAAGGTACAGGAAAGATCATGATGTTCTATGTGAAAGGGGTGGGGGGGTGGGGAACATGACTCAATGGGGGATGTCCTGTATGCTGTGAATATATGTTTTCTTATTGACTGATGAATAAAGCTGTTTTGGCCAATGGGCAGGCAGAATTTAGCCAGACAGGAAATCCAAACAGGGATAGAGAAAGCAGTAGGTGGAGTCAAGGAGATGCCATGTAGCAGCTGCCAAGGAAGCAAGAGGTCTGGGTATCACTGGTAAGCCAAGATCATGTACAGATATACAGAGTAATAGAAATGGGTTAATAATTAAGAGAGAGCTAGCTGTTAAGAAGCCTGAGCAATAAGCCAAACAGTTTATAATCAATATAAGCCTCAGTGTATTTATTTGGGACTAAATGCCTGTAGGACCAGACAGGACAGAAACTTTTGTCGACAGTGACGGCTTTTAGATATGGTAAAGGAGAAAGTTTATTACAGACATGTGGCAGAGCATAGTCAGAGGCAGAGACATCTGGGAGAGTCCAGAGTAGACATGCCCCTGAGCCATGTGGGGAAAGTGGGGAAGGGAAAGGAGAGGGGACAGAGGGGAGCAGATGGAGCAGCCAGGGAGCTCAAAAGAGAGTAGAGAAAAGGAATCAGGTAACCAATATGGTTGCATTATACAGGGAAGGTTAGTCCAGCCCCTGGCCTAGAGAAGTTTAGGGTAGGGAGTGGGGTGTGCCAGCCAGAAGGGCCCTGTAACAGGTAGGGTCTAAGGGATGCAAGGAGAACCTAGGGGCCGTGTCTGCTTTGATAGCTTAATGGACACCTCAACCATTTGTCCCAGATCTGAAACTTAACTGCTTCTAAAGACTGGTAAAGATGGCCATTAAAACTGCAAACACAGGCTCTGAAGTTACAGTTAATTATCTAATTAGCCTTGTGGACAATCAAGGGAAAGTGCAGCGTTGTTATGGGAACTTTCAAAGGTCCTGTGTCCTACACTCCTGGCCTCTCTGAGTTGAGTCAGCTTTGTCACATTTACTGGAGACAGCAGGTCTCTGTCAGGTTTGTCCTCTGGGCTTTAGAGGCAATCAAAGGATCAAGAGAATGCTGGCTAGGCTGGGAACTGTGGAGGCAGTGGCCTGGAGGCCACACTGGTTGGCACCTGTGAGGGCTGGTTTTTATGCTTAGAGGGGCATGAAATGACAAGATAGTCCCCAGATAATAGCCTGGGCTCTGGTATAGACCTGGGATCCAGGCTCCGTACATGACATTCTGATCCCTAGGCAGGGTCACCTGTCACCACATGCACGGAAGCACTCTGGTCAGTTTGTGGCATTCTGTAAACAGTCTTGCACAGGACAGTGATTTGAAGCAACACTTAATGAAAGAAAAACAATTTGGTAGGGCCACTTACTGCCTGTGATAGAATTCATGGGCAAGAGCCAACTTGTTCTTGGGACCTCCAAATTCAACACAGGGCATGCTGCCACACAATGGGTGGGGAGAGTCAAGCAGGGAGGCAGAACAGGTCAGAGACAGCAAGCTTTGGCTCCATGTGAAATCGGGGCGGGCAAGTGAAGGACTGACCTGTGTGTTGTCCGGTTACCTAGGCTGCGGCAGTGAAGCCAAGGGCCATGTGGGGTGACAAGCCAGCCAAATTGTTATTTCTTGCTCTTCCCAGCAGATGAGGAATAGGTGGATGGTGGTAAGAGCAGCAGAGGGAAGCCAATTGGTTAGAATGGGAGTCAACAGGATGGTGGAGATGGGCCAAAGCCTTGGAACGTGCTTTGGATCCAGGCAGCTTGAAGTCAGGCACCAACAAGCAGAGCTCTGCATGGGGCAAGTGAACTCTACCTCTGGGTTTCCAGGTGGGCATGGGACAGGAGCAGGAAAGGATGGTGGTGGGCTGCAGACTCAAAGTGGGGACTACTAATGTATAATAAAGAGAGTGTGCTAGGTTGTTCAGGCTGGCTCCTGGATGCGCCACCCCCCCCCCAGTGGCTTTCCTGAATGCAGGGTCTCCCATTCTCCACTTGCTCCGCTCGCAGCCCCTTACCTGGGTAAGGCTGGATGGAATCTGGGCTAAGCACCTCATGACTAGCCATGCACCCTCCTCTCCCTGACTGAAGTCAGCAACCCCTGCAGCCTTCCCCACCACTGCAGGTCTAGGGAAAGGCAAGCAAATCTTGGCACTGTAACTTTAAGAGGGGGAACTGGTTACCCTGAGGGCCTTTGAGAAGGAAATAGTGTTAAGTTGTGGGGAGCCACTACTGTGGCTCTAACTGCTGATAGCATGAAAACAGGAACATAGGTTGCCCCTGTAGCAAATATGGCCCAGGCTCAGGCCCTGGCTCTCTTCTCGTCCTTGCTGACCCTCTATGTCTCTGAAGGTGAGTGGGGAGGCCAGAGAAATGCTGGGCCATGGGGGTGGAGACACAGCCACTGACCTTCCTGTCTTCCCTCAGGAAGTCCCAAGGTATGGGTGCAAGTCCAGATGGAGGCCACCAAGCTCCTATCCCTCTCTCTCTCTCTCTCAATTCGCTGTGGTTTTAGGAACTGACCTCATCTCTCTGGTAACAGTGAGCTGGGAAGGATTTGTTGATGTCCAAAGGACCAAACTAGCTGTGTTACATCCAGAACTTGCCACCCAGCAGTGGGTCCCTGACTCCCAGGCCAGCTGGGAAACCTCCAACAGTGTCTTCCTCACTCTGACCCTGGAACAATCGAAAGCAAGAAACTCCCTGGCCAACACCACATTCTGCTGCGAGTTTGTTACCTTCCCCCATAGCTCCAGGGTTACCTGTGGAGATCTGCAGAGCTCAGATCCAGATGTATCTTGAGGAGTGGAGGAAGGGGGGACCTTGACACTAGCTGCCCATCTGGCACCTTCCTCTGTTTCTAGGACTCTCTGTTCTGACTCTTCAAGGAGACCTGGCTAGGATCTTGGGAACTTCAGGGTTTCTCCTGCTTGGTTTCGTCTTTATACTATATCTCCTGTGGTGGTAGAAGCATTGGTGAGAATGGGCTCAGTAACATCCCCACCCCACTTGGCTAGCTGCCCTCTGCCCCTGACTCCTCCTGTTCTGTCTCCCAGGTGTTTCAGTAAATCTCAGTCATCTGCCACCAGCACCCAGGCACAGAGGCAAGCTCAGGTGAGGCTTGAAGGATGGTCTCTGGGCACCAGTGGTCCCCCATAGTCTGCCAACCAAGCATCCCTGAACACTTTCCACCACCCACCACCCTGTTCAGCTCCTCTGTATGAGGCTGTGGTTCACCCTGACCAGCACCTGCCCTAGTGTACACCACTCTCCACTGATGACCCACACTCACCAAGCAGTCCCTGGTCCTGTCTTCCCAGCTTCCCCAAGTCTCTGCACACTGGCAGCTTCATCTCCACTGAGAATGGACTGTATGCTTTGGCAGGGGAGAGACTGCCCCACACAGTTTCCAACATCCTTGCTTCCACAGACCTTCTGGAGCACCGTAGCCTGGAAAGATGCTTGGGAGTTCAATGAGAGACACCCTCGGTTCCCTCCAGCTATTTGGGACATCACTCTGCACCAGGCCTCTTCATGAATCTTGTTTTGCTTTTAGGCCCCTGATAAGCTAGAATGTGGTCAGTGTATGAGCGTGTGGTCACAGGTGTGAGTGGAGGAGCAGGACAAAGGTCATTACATCCTGTTTTGCACATTTCAAACCTCCCAGATGATTTTAATAATGTCATTAAAGTGGTCCTTCTGTTTGGGGCTTTAGCTTTATTTAGACTTTGCTTCTTTAGGAAGTCAGAGGCAAATTCAGTCAATCAGGAGGTAGAAGCAGGTTGAAACCAGAAGGGACTGGGACTAAGACCCAGGCTGAACCTGTGGTTGGTCCTTGCTGAGGGACCCTTCAACCCCTGTTGTCTGACCTGATCTCCTCATGCTCAACTCCCTGTATAGCTGGAGTGGCACCCTCACACCCTCTTCCAGATGCCATTGTTGCTCCTCTAGCTCTTCTTTATGAGCAGAGAAGCAGACACTGCTCCCCAGTGGCCACTCAGAGGCAGGCAGAGGCCTTGTAGACACAGGGACTGAACACAGGCTTACCCAAATCCAGTCGTTCCATCCAGGAACTGGGTTCCTCTGCATGAGATAAGCACCCTAGGCCTTCACATCATCTGCAGAGGAGACAAAATGAGTGAGACACCCTGTGGGCCATAAGGACCTCGGGTTTAGATTTCTGGGTCACTCTAGCATGGTGAGCCACATAGCTTGATTATGTGAGGCTCCTCTTGCTTGCAGGGTGGGTAAGGAAGGTGAGGAAGCCTAAGGAGAGAGATGGCAAGCCAGGAGCCTGAGAAGCTGTGTTGTCTGGCACGTGTAGGCTTTGCCACCCTTGAACAGAGCCTGAGATACAGAGAAGGTTGGGAGAGAGGCAGGAGGTCTTTTAGAGGGAAAAAAACCAGCCTGAGCAATCCTGGTGGGGCTGGCTTCTACTGCACCCCTGGAACTTCTATAAATGGCCTTGTCTCTACCAGGTGACAAGTAACACTCCTGCTGAGGGCTCAGATGGTCCCCGAGGGGCCGTAGCCCAGGAAGCCATGGGTTAGGGAATATCCTCAAAAGGATCCATGAGTGGGGAAAGTGACCTGGAATTCATAGCCCTGCCATCGACTGGGATGGGTAACTTGGGCCATCCCCAGCCACTGTCCAGAAGCTACCAACAGTTGTTCCTCTCCATGCCTACTCACATCTGGCAGGACCAGCAATTAGATCCCCAAGAATCCCCCCACTATCTCCTTCTGCCTCCAGTCACCCCAAACCTGGCTTCCTCAGTGCAGCCTCTGCTACCCTCAGCCTCATTCCCTTGACAACACCGCTTGAGTGTGTCCCTAGTCTCTCACCTTCCCTGTTCCTGTTGTCTGCCCCCCCAACCCCAGCAGGCCCCTGCATCTAACCCTGATGTCTGTACCCCAGCATAGCCCGGCTGTCTCCTCCTGTCTTTTTCAGGGTTCACTGCCCTCCTGGCAGCCCAGTCCCATCACTGCCACGCCCTTTGAAGCCTGTGCCCAAGACCTTTCTTCCTCAACCCAAGGCCTTGCACCAGGGACTAGCTACAATGGCTGTGAGACTGAAGGGATTGTAGGACCTCAAATCAATGGTTAGCTCTTGGGCTTCGAACCATCACCTAGTGCATTGTTCTCAGGGTCTCAACTCCAGTCTCATGGGGCCACCAGGCACAGGAAGTGGCTGGAAGACTGCCAACCATGACAACAAGCTATAGGATCTGAAAACCAAATCAGACTTTGAGAGCTTGGCCAACAGGACCAGGGAGATGGTCCTAATCAGGACGCTATGGGGTAGGAGCGGTCTGACTGGAATAGTGGGACCTGCCTCCTCCTTCCCTATTGCCTGAGATTTTTCCAAAGCCCCATGAGGGAGTCAGTCTGTGGCCACATCCCCAAAAGCACAGGACATTATGTCTGTTGGCAAAGTTATAGGAAGGGGACAAGGGTTCCCAAACTGAAGTTCCAGCCAAGCTCTGCAGAACAGCGGTCAATAGCAAAATGAATTTCACAGATCCTCTCTTAAAAAAAGATTTAGCATCTGTGAAATACATCAACTCGCTCATGAGACAGGTCTGGCTGGAAAGGGTCCAGGGCCTGAGAGTTACTAAGCCACAACCACCATCCAAAAGAGTAAAGGGGACATCACAGGTCATGTGAAGGATGAGACAAGGCAGAAGGTTAAAGTGGGAGGGAGGGCCAGGACACATCTCCCAGCAGAAAGTGGGGGCTGGGCTGAAAGACAGGTGCATCTATCTTGTCTGCAACCACAAGGGAAGATCCACAATATAGGAAAAGAAGAATTTGACTGATGGGGAGGTCCCACTCTTAGTGGTCCTGGGGAGGCCCTGGGGATTGGGTTACTTTACGAAACTTTCTGCCTCCTGAGCACCCCGGGTCCCTCCACGGGGCCTCCTTGCCTGTCTGATGGCTCTGCTGCTCTCATTTCCTGGAGAGAATCGGGACATTGCCTGGATCCTGCTTCTGCTGCTGCCAGCACCATGCCTGCAAGCTGGTGAGTGGTGGGACTTTGCCAGCAGGGACTCTGCCTTAACCACAGGGCGGGCCAGTGGGGCTGGGAAGAGTGGACTGCCATGTGGACAGGCCTCTGAGCCCCAGAGAGCTCATCCCTCAGAGTGGTCCAACCCAACTTTTACCTGTCTTTCCTGTCCCATAGGGGACGTAAGGACATAGGGACAGTCCTGGCTTGTGTTCCACACTTGCCTATGGACGATGACTCAGGAAGCTCTGGGTTGTCCTTTCCATCCCCCTCCACAGCTTCAGATCTCCCCATCCTTCCTAGGGAACTTGGCAGGATCCAATAGAGTAAATGTCTTGGGGTGGGGTGGGGGCTCAACAACTCCCATGCCTCTCTGCTGTCCAGGGAGGCTGTGTTGAGATCCCCTTCTTCTACTGCCCCTGGGGGTTGACAAAGGATCTGCAGATGAGGGTTCTCTGGAGATGGAAGCACTTCCATGGGGAATTTATCTACAATGCCACCCTGCCTTTCGTACAAGAGCGTTTGAAGGACCTAGTCACCAGGCCAGACACCCATCTTCCTCAGAATCTTGAACTTGCAGATGAAGGGGCAGACTATGTGCTTCTTCCAAGCTCATCTGAACACATAGAGAAGGCATGGAGGAATGGTAGTCACCCAAGGGGACGAAGCTCATTGTCATGGTGAGCACACTGGGCTCAGACTCTGATGCCCCTGGCTTCTTTGTCCCCTAGAAGTCACCTCAGGCTCCATACTCTGACCCTTGCTTTCTCTCCTGCCTCTGCCTGTCACCCAGGCCTCTGACAACATTATCTTCCTGACAATCATCCCCAAGTCTCAGCTGCTTCCTCTGCCTATGTCCCTCACTCTGCCCTCAGACCCAGCTGCACCTCACTTCCAAGTTCTCTCTCTTGTTCCAACCTGGCACTATGACCCTGCTCATAATAACAGCATTGCTCAGACCTGAGTCTCTGCAGCTGGTCTTTCCACAGTCGTGGCAGACAACAGAGCTGCCTTCTTATTTCTCCTGTGAACCATCTACTACCAGAAGCTTCCTTGGGATAACATAGTGCAGGTCCTGTGGTCCTTTACTCCCTGTCCATTTCTTCACCCTTTCTGTGCACCACTTCCCTCAGCCCAGACCACAAATAAAACACCAAGATAAGCCACTCCCAGATACCACCCTGATGGAAGTAAAGGGAGGTTGGAGATGGTACTAGACATGTGAAGGCCTGCCATGAGAGAGGATGCTTAAGCAAGCCATGCTTCTGCTTATGAGAGCCTTGCAGTGGCCATTTGTCTCCACCCAGGACAACAGCACCACCTACATTCTCCTCACCCTCTCCAGCCCAGCTGTGCCTGGACCACCTGCCCCCAAGAAGAGGCTGCCTACTCCAAAGTGGGAGTGAGTGATGCTCTTAAAGTCATCTAAGCTTGTGGTAGGGAGATTCCCAGCTTCTACAATACCCTTACCTACTGAAGAAACTCCAGGGTCAGTGAATCTGAATGCCCCAAACTACCAGTTCCCTCTTCAACTGTCTATATGTTACTAAAAACAAAACAAAACAAAAACAGTGGTACCTACAAAAGTTGACTAAGCCTAAGTGAGAACTCTATCACCTTCAACTTCCTTCCAAACCAAAGTGAACTCTGACAGAGAGCTCCTATCCATCACCTCCCCTCTAGTACTTTTTCAAAGTACTTGGTATTTTTATTTTGTTTTTCTGAGATGGGTCCTTAAGTCATCTATGCTGGCCTTTAACACAAGATATAGCCAAGGATGACTGCAAATTGTCCCATTTCCCCCAGCTGCTGTAATTATAGACATGCATCACCACACCTGGCTTCCTCTAGCGCTTTCTCTAGTCTCTCTCTCTCTCTCTCTCTTTTTTTTTCAAAGACTGCCTCAGGTCAGGCAACCTAAATTCTCAAACACTGGTAATCAGATTAGAAGCCAATGTCTGCCCCTAAGGGAATCATAATGTTCTTTTGAGACAAATGAAAGACTCAACACTCCCTATGGGTATTTGGCAAGGATTAAGCACCTAAATGTTGTTGAGAATAGTGATTTCTGTGTAAGTCTGATATAGGCCCCTTTGATGTTTCTCCCTTTTTGGACAACCTGGCAAAGGCTCAGTCTTCCTTTGGAAACTGACCTGGCAAGTCACATGACCATTTGAGTAACAACTTTGAAGCCCCTTCTCTGTGTCCAGATACTTGGACAGAGGAGATGATGAATGAACCCTCCTGTAGATGACTGTCTAGACAGTCATCTTGGCAGCCTGCTTGTGTGAACACCTCAGGGATGCCCAGAGGAGACACCACCCCAGCTGCCAAGTGACCGTAGCTGCTGCTGGGTGCACTAAACATGGAGAGAAGACATTGATGAGTGATTCTTAACACTGGGGCCTTTCTGGTTCACTTTCCAGGTGCCTCTAACAATATACTTAATCATTCAGAGACAAGAAGCACCCTTTGATGGAAGAGAGCATAGCAAAGGGTACATTTTTCTGGACAACTGTTTTAAGCTATAAGGTGGCTTCAGTTGGAGGTCTCATTGACAGATCCAAGCTCATTGACAGATCCAAGCTGATGCAAGACCAAGAGCACATTGCTTGCCTGCATGACCTCCAAAGTGTGATTTTGTTGTTGTTGTTAGTTTTGTTTTTGATTTTTTTGAGACAGGGTTTCTCTGTGTAGCCTTGCCTGTCTTGGAACTCACTCTGTAGACCGGCCTTGGCCGTGAACTCAGAAATCCACCTGCCTCTGCTGGGATTAAAGGCATGTGCCACCACCGCCCAGCCCAAAGTTTGTGATTTTTAGAACAATTAAACTTGAACAAAATTAGAGGTTTTTCTTGGTGCTCCCTAGGTTTACCACTCTCCCCTTTCTCCTTCTTTCCATTATTCAGTCTCTCAATCTCTGCCAATCTTTCTGCACTTTGCTGAACCAACACGTAGCTATGGATGAGAGGAGTAAAACTGGGTAGGCAAGATGGCTCAGTGGTAAAAGGTGCTTGTGGCCAAACTAGATGACTAAAGTTTCATTCCTTGGGATCCACATGGTGGAAGGAGAGAACAGATTTCTGCAGACTGTCCTCTTACTCTTATGACTGAACAAAAATGCATGAGTGAGGTGATCTGATTCCTTCAACAATGGCTGAGGCAAACAGATATTTCATTAAATGAGCGATGTATAAACTATACAGCAGACACAAAAAGGAGGCTCAAAATAAACATAGCATGCTTGTGGCCTTCTGACTTTTTCATATGGCATGGACCCCCAACATCTATTTGGAGTCAGTGAAAGACAGTCATTTTTCTCTTCACTAAGCCCAGTACCCTTGCCCACCTTCTATGTGGGAGAGCCTGGAGGAAGGGCCTCTGCTTCTGTCCGGTGTCTTTATTCTGGGCTCCCATCACACATCAGTGTAAGTTTTCCTTGGTCCTTAAAAAAGCACTCCCACTAGGGCTGGAAGACAGCTGAGCAGTGAAGAGAGCCTGCTGTTCTTGCAGAGGACCCAGGTTCAATTCCCAGCACCCACACAGTGGCTCACAACTGTTAAGTTCCAGGAGATCAGGTATCCTCTTCTGACCTGCACAGGCAGCAGGTATGTATGTGGTGCACAGACATACATGGAAGCAAAACACCCATACACAGAATTTTAAAAAATGAGTTCAAAATTTTATAAAGTAAAATTTTAAACTAAAAAAAAAAAAAACCCAAACAACAACAACAACAAAATGTTTCCTATCCATGATACTTGTATTCTCCAAAGCAAGCATGTTAGATTAGACTCACGCTTGGAATTTTTGATTCAGGACAAGATCAAATGTGTGTAGGCTTCACTATGTGTGCCTGTCCTGGGCTTCCATGTGCCCACACATCTGGAATTTTCTCTTGTAAGATTTCCTCCTCTTTATTGTATGCGTATGAGTGTTTTGATGGAATGTATATATGTGTACTGCATATGTGTTATGCCTGCAAAAGCTAGAGGAGGGCATTGGATCCCCTAGAATAGGAGTTACAGTGGTTGAGAGCCATGTGGGTGCTAGGACCAAACTCAGGTCCTCTGCAAGAGCAGCCAGTGCTCTTAACCACAGAGCCATCTCTCCCACCCTGTAAGATTTCTTCACAGATCTCTATGTGAGGCTGTGGCCTGGCGGTTACCCTCAGGCAACAAAATACATCTGCTTCTTCCAAGTGTGTTCACTTTTGGTACATTGACAAGAGCAGCTCCATTCTATATCTGGCCATGTTCACATGTTTCTATAATATCCTGTCTTATATTTCAGTGTTATCCTCGGCCATCCTATAGGTTGGAGCTGATGGTCCCTTGTTGCCTGAATGGACCTGTCTTGAGTTTGGTTTGATCTGGCCCAAGGTCAGAAAGGAAACGTCAAAACCCTGGTTTGTAAGCTACCTAAAGTGAGTGCTAGGAAGCAAACTCCAGGGCTCTCCAAGAGCAATACAAATCATAACCTCGTTACCATCTCTCTGTCCCTGTATGTATTTACTTTTTATTAGGTGTGGCTTACAAAGCTTGTGTATGTACTTGAGCATGCTATGGCACTTCAGGGCATTAGCTCTCTTTCTACTATGGGTCCCTGGGACTGAACACAGAGCATCTGGCTTTGCCACAAGTCCTTTATGGCACTTGTTTTTGTTTTTAAGCAAAGCAGTGGCAGGAGATTCACAGTCCCCACCAAAAGAACCCCACTACTTTAACTCCTGTGGAGAGAAGCTGGGTGCACTGGAGTGAGGGGACAGTAAGGGACAAGGGCACATCGAGCAGGTTCCTGCAATGCTCCAGTTAGAAAAGACTGTGTGTAAGCCTGGATGGGAGAACCAGAAAGAGAGTAGTGAGTGGATTAAAGATCTGTGTTGCTGGCGGAACACTTTTGGCTGTGAACAGAAAGGATAAGGATGGCCTCAGTACACCCTGGGAACAGACCCTATCCCTTCAGGTGTCCATTGTCTGATCATCAAAGCCCCCAGGCCTTTGTGTTCCAAAAAGTCCCTCCTATATGACAGTACCAAGGTTGCAGGTGACTCCTGGGTCGTGTATCTCATGTTGGGGAAATACCCTTAACAGTTAGGGAAGTCGTGTACCTAGTGTCCCTGGCAAGCCCATCCTAGGAGATCCTTATGGGGAACCACCTGGGTTCAGGGCAGGGAAAGGAAAAAAGAATGTATCACTTGGCTTTAAGGAGACACAAGGTAGCAACAATGAGGTCTGAAGCCAAGAGGAGCACTGCTGGTCCAGACAGCCTCTTCCTTGGGTTGAGAGAGGTTCAGACACAAGGAGAACCAGCGGGATAAGAGGAGGTATGAGAGGGAGGCAGAGATACGGAGGGAGGGAGGGAAGGAGGGAGGGAGGGAGGGAGGGACAACATGGTATATATGAAGGACTGGGTAGTCAGGAGGTCAGGCTGGAAGAGAGGAGAGCCTAGCAGGCATGGTGAGGTCAAGTCAGGAAACCGAGGGCTGGGTCCAAGGACCCAGCCATTTGTGGGTGACCGCAAGGGTAGATCTGGATCTTCTCCTACAGGCCAGCACACTAAAGCCAAACCCCAGCCCTGTAGATCTGTCATCCCAGGGACCAGGTGTGGAGGATTGAATAAGCATGGCCCCATAGACTCAAGGATTTATATATTTGGTCAGCAGGCAGTGGCACAAAGGGTGTGTGGCCTTGATGGAGTAGGCGTGGCCTAGTAGGAGGAAGTGAGTCACTGGGGGTGGGCTTTGACATTTCAAATGCTCAAGCCAGGCCCAGTGTCTTCCTCTTCTTGATGCCTCTAATCTGGATGTAGAATGCTCAGCTACTTTACTACATCTCCAGCACCATGTCTGCCTGTGTACCACCAAGCTTCATGCCATGATGATAATAAACTAAACCTTTGACACTGTAAGCCAGCCCCAATTAAATGTTTTCCCTTGTGAGAGTTGCTGTGGTCATGGTGTCTCTTCACAGCAATGGTCTTTGATTCAGACAGGCTGTTTGGGGAAATTTGTTGTAAGAGGCATGCAAGAGAGCTAGAGAGATGATTCTGCCAGCAACGCTTTGGGGGGGGGGTAGGGGGGACACATGAGGATCTTAGCTTGATCTCCAGAACCCACATTATGAACCTGGCAGGTGGCATATGTTTGCAATCCCAGCCCTGGACAAGCAAGAGTCAATCAGAGTCATGGGCTGTCTGTCCAGCTAGTCTAGCCTAATTGCTGAGTTCCAGAGCAACGGCAGGCTATGTAATAAGAAACAATGTGGATTCCCAAGGGGACAAACATGGTCATGACATTTCCTAAATTTATTTTAGATCAAGTATTTTAAAGTTATATGTTAATGGATGAAAGAAACACCAGGAGAAGAGCAATAGCTCAGTAGGAAAAAGGAGCCTGCTGCCTGGCC